ATGTCACCTTCTTTTGAATTCCCTGTGCTCTTTGTTTTTTTTCATCACAACTATTTTAGCATCAAAAATAAAAAGCTTGGTGAGTAGACAAAGGTCTTTTCATGTTACTAACTGTCACAAGGTAAGCTGGTGTATAAAATGTGTGGGATGAATCAACAGAATTTCCAGTTACTTGTAACATTTTACACATAGATAAAAGTCAGTGGACCAGAGAAAGAAATCAACACGCAGCATAAGGAAAAAGAGCGCCACCCAGTAGCACCCACACGAGAATGCAGAAACACTATTTCGCACCAAAAGCCAAAAAAAACTAAAGAAACACGAAGAAAGACGCTCTCAGACAGTGAGTGGTCCCTGCCACAAGACAACTTCTGGTCGCCTCTGCAGCTCCCAGCTACCTCCAATCCTACTAAAGACCCATATCATACACAACAGACTGCCATAACCTCATCATGCAGCTTTACCGAGCTGGTTGTAGCTTAAAATAGAGGAAATGGTTTGCAACAGGTTAGCTAACCGTATTAGTTTTGCTCTAAAACCTTTTGTTTACATCGATTGGTTTGTTCGCTGCTTATATCAGAGAACTCGGATACCAGTACAATAGTGCTGCACAATACTGGAAAATAAGTGACATTGCAATTTTGTTTTCTGTGATATATAACAAAATACAGAAATATTCACCTTGAAATTTTTATGCAACAATTTAAAGATGAATTAATCACTCTGGGGCACTTTGATAGCAAAACTAAGAGGCTGGATTAACAATTTTGTGCCATTGTAAACAATTTAATCATAAATATATTGATTGTATAGTTATGAATGGTGATGAAGCATCAAAAAGATCACACCAACCACGCATGGTTAACGAGACAGGCTGGGTTTGCCAACATCACCACAGACCCCGCACCAGTGTTGTAGTCAAGACCACCTAAACCTAAGTCCTAAGACTTAAGTCATGACCAAGACCAAACTGTATTGATACCGAGACAAGACGAAGACTTTGAGGGGCAAGTCAAGACCGAGATCAAGGCAGGGCGTGACAGAGTAAAGACAAAGACCAGACCAGAGCTCTCACTGCATGACGCAGTTACTATAAAATGTGGACCATGCCAATCCTTGACACTCCTCAAATCGATCTGAAAGATCCACATTCCCATGAAAACAAATAAAGATTTGTCTTCATTCAGCTCTTTTATACTGCTATATAGGTATAGGTGTACCATGACATATGTCTTGATACAAAAATCAAAAGGCATTGCTGATGTGAATTTTATGTGTGGGATTTGCCCTTTGTTTTGTATGAGCAATGTTAACAAATACATCTATTCTGAGACATTTTAGTGACATTTTATTGACCACATTTGTGGTCTTGACTGGTCTTGAAATAAAATCCTCTTTGTTGGAGACAAGACAGAGAAAAGTGGTCTTGAGACCGATCTGGAGTCCACGACTGATCTTGAGTACTAAAACCTGAAGAAACTGAAATGGATATCCATAATTGTTTTATTAGTATATTACCAGCTGAAACTAAGAATCATTGTCTTTTCCTTAGCTTACAATGAGCCGTCCATATCTACATACATAGCGGGTCCTTCTTAACATGTTGCACTGCATGTTTCTACAGTAGCCCAGAACGGCCAAACCACAGACTGGCTCGAGAGACGGCTTTTGCGTTTTTACAATCCCTGAAGGCCAACGTAGTTCTCTGACACGTTTGAACAGGGAGGGGTGAGCGGAGGGGTATTCAGTTGGATACAATCTGCAACCTCACCACTAAATCCTACTCTCTGCTCCTTTAAGTGATCAACAAAATGATTTCAATTCATCCTGACATGGATGTTTTTACCAAATTTCCTTCACTGAAATCCTCACGTCAACATCATGATGGCGTAGAGGAGCAGTCTGGATTCATGAACGTCATTAAGGATTCATCCTCTGGGAACAATCATGGCCATCCAATAAATAGATGTGTTGAGATATTTCAGTCAGGACAACAGTGGTGGATTGAAATTAGCAGATTACCGTTTAAAATTGCACAAGTAATTTATTAGCACAGAGTCTATGCTTCAAAGCATAACCCAACACTGTGATCTCCATAAATAACACACAAATGGTGTGTGGCCATCGTGCATAAACTTGTCAAGAAAAAGTGTGGCCTTCAAAAGACAACATGCAGGGCCTGTGGGTAATATGTATGGTGTTACAATACATTTAACAAATGCACTGGTGGATCAAATTAACACTAATGTCTCTTACCTCAGTTCTACTTTTTTTCTATTTCTATCTCTTTGTATATCTGGCCAGTGTCATCTCCAACCAAAACATATCCGATAGCTCGCCTGAGCCCGAGTCCTCTCCTGGACAAACACACGGTAAGTGAGCCAGATCTCCAGCTGTCAGACTAGAGACGGGTTTGTGGTGCGACCAGACGAAAGAAAAGAAGTGGGTCACCATTATACCACTGATAGCTGAAACAGTCTGGAGGAGGGCAGACACATTTTCAAGGGGGAGATGCTATTTTTCCACTAATGAGGATCTCATATGAAGACACTGAAGAAAAACAAAGATGGTTTCAGGGAGGGACAGTTGTGTTACTTCTCAAATGCATAATTCAATGAAACCAAAGTATGTGAATAATGGCACATTTAAAAATGGCACGGTACTTTTAGGAATACTTGGAGAATGACAGAGGAAAGTTCAGTCTGCTGTCAGAGAGATGATATTTGGTTGCCAGAGCAGATGTGAGTTCAGGAGTCCAAACCAGATGGCTGAGATTTACTCTGATAGTTAATCATATCTCGCCTTCCTTCACAGATGTTTTTATGCCTTAAATGGTGCCACGGTCTCCTTAATCAAAAAGCATTCATTCATAAGCCACAGATAAGTGTTTAAGTGCAGAAATGCTAAATTTACGGGGTGATTTCACAGCTCTGCTGAGGAAACGCAGTGAGCTTGTTTCCAAAACATGTGCTTGGATGTGCAACAGTTCATCATTTTATGACTATAAACTTGCAGAGGATCATGGCTGTAAAAGCGTCGGTCAATTTGTCAACAAGGGAATATGAACAACCTGGTGTTATGCATATAGTTAAATGTAGTGGTTCCAATCAATAACTGCAGATCTTTCACTGCTTCCTGCATTGGCTCTATAGAAAATAATGTCTCAATGAGGACACAATCAGATTATGAAAGCATCTTTAGTTAATCGTATTCCCTTTTATAAGTGGACCGTTACACAGCAGAGTCCATATTGTTTTCAGTGTCAGTATATGCACATGCACTCACATCTGCAGAGACAAAGAAAACCATCTGCTTCACCTGATTAACTCCACTGACAGGACATGAAAGTTGAGTCACGCCATCACACACAGGATGTCACACAGTTGTTTGGGCTGCTGCCACCTCGTCGCCACGTTTCATTGCCGTGAGTCACAGCTCCTCCGGGACCCGAAACACAGACCGAGAGGTGAATCCAGAACTCGGATTAACCACTTAATGAAAATCAAACACAACAGAGGAGGAGGAGGAGGAGGAGGAGGAGGAGGAGGAGGAGGTGGGCACTGAGGAAACAACAGACTTACTCCCAATAACTTCCTCTGTAAGGAATCGATAGCGACGACACGCCAGAGGTTCTCAGCTTTTCTGAGTCACACTCTCTCGATAGTTTTCAAAAAAGGGCCAGAGATGCCAAAAAACTCCAAGTGTTTGAAGTGGTGACACAATGGAGTTCACTTGAGCAAGCGGTTTAATTGAATTTTTTAATTGATGTGTGTGCTGACTTGTAATATAACTTGATGAACATACAGATGGCTTTATTGATAAACGTGTCATTTCACACGGCGATTAATAAAGCAACAAAACATCAAACTGTTTTGAGACATCTGCCTGAAATGGTAAAGAAATGTGACAACTTTCACAACCAGTGGAGGAAAGTAAGTATTTACTCAAGGACTTTACCTCATTTTGATGTAGTTGTACTTTACTTGAGTATCTTCATTCAATGCCACTTCATACTTCTACTCCATAATATTTATTTAACAGCTGTAGTTACTGTTTAAGTTGCAAATTAAGATTTTATATGCAAAACATACATTTGCCTTCTAATATATGATACATTGTAACGAATATAAAGTATTAACATTTGCTATCAACATATTAAAACAGTATTATACTGTAACATAACAGTATCAAAGGGACCATTCTGCTTAAAGAGTACTTTTACTGTTAGAGTAATAGTTGGAAGTACATTTTGCTGATAATACTTTCCTTTAAGCAGTGCTGCACTGCGATATAAAAACACAGTAGCCTACTAGTAAAGGTGCATTGGAAATATCATGTAAGTAAAAGTACATAATTGACATTTCATAAGTTCATCATATGTCAAAGTATTTTCCTCTAAACTGGAGGACAGTAGAAGTATAAAGAACGTTATACTTTATACTAGTACCTGAAGTAAAGTTGTATTTACAGTACTTGAATAAATGTATTATTATAGTCACTCTCCACCTGCTCTAAGCAACATATTAAATGTGTGACTCTTACTGCAAATGGAGTATATTTTACTTACTTATTACATTATTGTTCACAAATGTCCAAAATCTAGAAGATACAATCTTCATTTTTTTTAAAGTAATAAATGTAGTCTTCCCATAGAGCCAGAGCCAGATGGAAATCAATACCAGTTGTAATTGTTCAAATGTGCTAAAGTTTACGCATTTCAGCAAATAAATACCATCGTAAATGACTACAGCAATAATAAAAGTAACTATAAACTCACAGAAGATTGCTACACTTCAAATTGCTGATAGATGTTGCAATATTTTCCACAACAGCACATTCACAAACAGTAGAGGCGAAAGCAAACACAGTTTAAAACGAGTCTATTAACCAGTAGCTTATCATCATAGTTGTCATAAAAAGCTTTGGCTCTCAAAACAAAACGTCAAAATCCTCGGTGACAATCCCGTTTTGTTTGAAGTCATTGACAGTATTTTACTCACCTTGCCAGCCAAGAACTCCCGGTTTATAATATATAATATCGCAATTAGAAACCAACTTCCATGGACGCAATTGAGATGAAAAAAAAATATGCGTTTCTTTCTCGGATCTCATAGACTTAGAAAAATCGTCCAGCGGTGTAAACATTTAGAAGAAAGAGAGAGAAAGAGAGCAGTGGCATCCAACGGGGGAGGGTCTTGAAGTAGAGCCAAAGAAACTGGAAAAAGTGTGACAGCGAGGGGACTGAGGAGGAGGAGGAAGAGGCGGAGGAGGAGGAGGAGGGGAGAGAGAAGAGGGATGGGGTAGAGAGGAGATTCAGGGAGGTCAAGGGAGGAGATAGAGTTGTTTTTGTCTTTAACCGACCTGCAGACCTTGATGTCTATCGATAGACAGACAGACAGACTTAATTGGTTGATTGATTGATTGATTGATTGATTGATTACGGGATATTTGTTTGTTAGAACTTGATATTTATTCTCCCCTGATGGTTTAGAAAATCGATACCTTATATGTCTTTAAATATGAAGCTACTGCTAGCAGCTGGTTAGCTTAGCTTAGCACAAAGAATCAAACAAATCTGGATTTAAGTATGGGTGCATTTTCATGTTGAAACAGGAGAGGGTCTTCTCCAAACTGTTGCATAAAATGTATGTGCATGCTGTAGCATGAAGATGCACTTTTATTGGAAACCATATACCATAAAATAGAGTATGTGGAGGGTCCACACACTCTTTCTGTCTGCCACACGCTCTTCCCCTCACACACATGATGTATTGACAGCTGTGTAATAACCTCCTCTCAGATAACTGTCGCTCAGCCTTTGCAGACAGCAGTTGGAGGGCTTCCTCCCAAACAGTAGGCCAGCCATGATAACCAGCCTGTTCAGGACCGGTGTCCGTCCCCTGCTGGGTGCTGACACAGATAAACAACTCATGGATGGAGGCCTGCTGGGACAAATATCCTCACTGCACGGAAACCAAGAACAAGGGGGAATTAAATTATTTCCTGTTGGTCTAATAGGGGCTGTGCAGCAGCCACATGCTGAGGACACGGAGAGGGGATGTCTTCATTTCAGATTTGCTTTTAGTTGTCTTTGTGAGGTCAGAAAAGGTATTTAAAGACGTCAGTGATCAATCCTGGATGTAACTTTCTACTACATTCGTCCACATGGACCACCAAAATCAACATAAAATGAAATTTCTTGTAGTAGCTTTAAGTAAGGATTACACTGTAAAATACTCTGTTATAAGTTCTACATTGAAAATGTTATTTAATTGATGTATTTCAGGATGTAAGTATAATCAGGAAAATGTACTAAAAGAAGTAAAAGTAAGAGAAAAAAAATGTCCCCTGTGGCTGTTATATTATTCACTGTATCATTAGATTATCTTATTTCTCTCGTTGTTTGGGAAGCAGAGAGCCTGAACCTGTTTTCAGTCCGGTATGATAACATCTGAGGTATTGAGCTGGCCTTTGACCATGAATCTCATAAAAGGGAGATGATGAATCCTGCAAGCTATTTGTTGAATAATACATCCATCAGATATGCTGTGATCAAAGAGAAGAGCAGTCATTATATCAGTTTTGCTTCTGCATGCAGGCATAACCAGTAACACCCCCTCATTATATTACATATGGCTTATTTAATGTGTTATAGGAAATCAAAATGTAAATGTAATTAGCATTGCATGTTGGCACTTGGGATAGTTTTGAAATTAAAACTTGAAAACTATATGTTTTATTATTTTGGTGTGAAACACTGCCATCTACTGCCATCCTGATGTTTTACGGCTACCACGATATTCTCTGATCCACCGCTGGGACAGACGTTAAAATTGCACGCATACAGACAAAACATTTTTCAAACCTGCATAACATTATTTTAAATTCTTGAGATCCAAATGTTTTCAAAGGCACCAGATATGTCAGGGTGAATTTGGGGGAAATGTGTATAAAATGAGGTACAATGCATCGGAGAAGATTTCCATTTGATGGGATGGATTTGATGGAAATAATTTAGCTAAATGAACATCTGGAACAAGCCATTGAAGAATATATGATACAGATGTTTCCAACCTTAAAACTACATCCACAACATTTATTTGACGGTTTTAGTTACTTGTAAATCAGATTATTATTAGAAAAATATGAATTCACTATGAATCATGATAAATTGTTGTTAGATTAAACCACAAAGCACTATATAAAGCAGCTGAAATGAGCCTCACATTTACAGCTGTAACATTAGTGACACTCACATATAAATCCATCAATAAATATTATCCAGTGATATCCATATACTTATATATTATATACATATGAAATGGGCCAATCTGCATTTTACGCTCTGTACTTTTAGGTATATTTCAATGTCAATATTTTTAAATGCAGGGTTTTTAATACTGTTTCCACCGCGGGTATTATTACAGTGCAAGGTGGAGATATTATTTCGGCTTCAAACGGTATTTTAATAATTGTAATACATGTCTACAAACATATATGGGCTTTTATTCTATAGAGATGAACGTGTGCTGCCGGGTCCTCCTGCTGAATGCGTCCCTGCTGTAAAATGACGCCGAGAAGAAGAAAAAGAAGTCGGGGCCGTAGTGACGTGTTTCCGGTGTCATGTCAGCTTTCTGCTGAAACCTCATGGCTAGCGACTGCTGCCGCGTTTCAATGAATGTGTTTTTCCTGTTTCAGTTGTAGTGATGCAGTGTTACTGAATCAAGACGTTCAGAGGTATGTTATCGTCCTCCCTCCTGTCGGAGAGGAAAAACCTGAGACAATTTAAAACGTGATTTATCCACCAGAAATGCTTATTTCCCGGATGCAAGTGCGCTTAGCATAGCAGTACAATATTTAAAATGAACCTTTCAATTCATGTTTATGTGACGAAAGTGTTTACACAGAGCAGAGTGTTTATTAATAAGTAAAATGTAAAAGTAGTATCTGTTGAACGTACTTAACAAAAGTTGCCATTGTGCAGTAAAATGATCCTGTCAGTGTTTTACTATTACATATAATGTTTCGGGATTATTATTGCTGCTGTATTAAAGTGTATGTTGTATTTTATTGTGGTAGATGTTTATGGTTGTGCTCTTATAATGTTGGGTTGTTTAATCTACAGCAATGCATCATATTCAGTTTGTCAGAAAAATTCAAAATGCAATTTTTGAAACAACCGTCTGTCAGATTTCAGCGTGTACCATACTAATAGAATAACTGTTTTGGGTACCGCGCATTTAAAGATGTTTTGTGTTACAATTAAAAGTAATTAAAAGTTTGCCTAATATTCTACAAACTGTCCTTTTTAATCAGATGGCAGAGGTTGTACCAGAGAAAAGTCGCGCCTTGAAGTTTGCAGAGCAGCAACTCCTGCGTCACGGCTGGGAACATGGTGAGATACTCGCATGTCTTTAGTGCAACTGTTCAGCCACTGCACTGTGTCAGATACAGGTGCAGATTTCTTATCCAGGCCACTCTCCTCAGGTAAAGGCTTGGGGCGACGGGAGAACGGCATAGCAGAGGCTATCCAGGTCAAAGTGAAATGTGACAAAGGAGGGGTGAGTGATATCTGGTTTTATGCAACGTTCGCTCTCATCACGTCCATCACTGGTGTTTTTGTGTAAACTCGCATGTTGCTCTTCTCTTCCAGGTCGGTCATAAGGAAGGGGAGCAGTTCACCTTCCACTGGTGGGATCATGTCTTCAATAAGGCCTCTGCCAGTCTGCAGGTGGAGTCTGATCAGGTGAGTCCTCGACCTTCTGATACAACACACAGTCAAACACGCTCACAGTCACCTGGACTCAACGCAATATGATCAGGGGACGTCTTTATTCTAAAAGTAATGAGTGATGCTGTCTTGCTATTTGTAATAATGTTAATTTAAGGGAGTTGTGGTACCTGTTTTTGTGATAATGGGCTGGGTATCACTTATTCGGTTCATGTATTAGTTAAGCGTTTGAAAAGGTTCCCAGCTGATTCGTGAGTGGGAACACTCAACACTCACTGATTCACCTCCTCCACTGGTGAATGTAGCTGCATTTAGGTAGCAATGTAAGTTACCCTTTAAAGTCACTTTTTAGTCACTTTCAACTAAAAACATTTTCCTGTGTGATCCAGAACGGTATTCAGTTGAAGAAGACGGTGGAGGAAGAGGATGGAATGATCTCCAATAAAAAGCCACGGAAAGCCGCTCTGGCTAAAGCCAAACTTTATGGATGCTTTGTCAAGGTAATTTATTTGTTTCTCATTTATGGGCTAAACAATTAATGGAGGTAAATGGCACAGAGGAATAGCTACATAGGTGATATTTAGTGGGATGAATTTATTGTTGGTTTTGTTCTGAAAAGTAAAACATCATCAGTTTTTTATCCTTTGGTAGTTTTAAATAAACTACTACTTATGGTGCTTTCAAATGTTTCTTGTCTGACCTGACAATGACTGTCACTGTTTTTATTTCCATGCTTCTCTCTCTCAGTCAGCCACACTGCTGTCTGGTCAGGAGCAGCCAGATCCAAAGCCTTCCGGCTCAGACGACGGCAGTAGCTCGGACGAGGAGGACGACCAGAAGCTGGATCTCTCCAGCACCACAAAGTGAGACCTTCATCTGATGCAGAAATGGTTCAGATTTATAATTGTTCTTTTCTCAAAAGTTGCGTAGCTTTTTCCATTTCTTTATAATCAATCGGCTTTTAATTACAATACTTCAGACGCACATTTTAACTCTGTTTTTAAAAGTGTTTAATTCATTCATTAATACACAACAGGCTCTCGGATGCTGATCTGATGAAGGCTTGTGGAGGACGCACGGCTCACAAGTAAGTTGATCTTGAAGTATTTTGTCATACTGAATAAGTAAAGTTAAAAATGAAAATGATCTATTTTCTGATGCATTTCTGTTTTTGTTTTCTAGAGGAGCCAGGCATGGCTTGACCATGAGTGCCAAGTTAGCCAGGCTAGAGAAGCAGGAGGCTGAGTTCATGGCTAAGTACAGCAAGAAGAGCCAACCGGCAAGTGCTCCACCGGTTTGTGTTGCACCGACTCCTCCGACCTCGCAGTCAGCTGACCAGAGAGCTGAGAGGCAGGAAGAGACGGTGAAGGACTCTCGGAGGAAAAAGGTGAAAAAGATTCGATCCAATGGGAGCGTTATTGAGCTAGATGATGATGAAGTGTCTGTAAGTCCTGAAACGGATGTTGAACCCAGAAAGAAGAAGAAAAAGAAAGCCAGCAAGGTCATGGAGGTAATAACTGATGGAGATTCCACTGACGATGATGTAATCTGTGTAGGAAACAGTGAAACAGACCATACTCATAAAACAAAGAGGAAACATAAAAAGAAAAATAATAATGCCGAGCAGAACGAAGAAGAAAGAACGCCTTCACCTGCAGCAGAGAGCAGGAGCCAGGAGGAGACTGTTGAGCTGCACACAGAGGTGGAGAAGAAGAAGAAGAAGAAATCCTCCAAAACCCACAGTGAACCTGCTGAGGAAGAGGAGGGTAACAACACAGAAGCCAGCCAGTCAGAGCCAGTCCAGGACTGCGCACCAAAACCCCAAAAGAAAAGAGCTGCAGTTCTGTTGGAGGAAGCAGAAGTAAAGCAGAAAAGGAAAAAGTGTAAAAGGGACAAATCATATGTAGATAACGATTCAAACGAGGAAACACTTCCTCCAAAGAAGAAGTCCAAGGAGTAATATTTGTTTAATAAACAGATTGGTCTCGGCTGGTTGGACAGTTGGCATTCTCTTGAATCACTCTGAGTTATGTGCCAAACAGACTTTATGGAAGCTGTGGTCTTTTGATTGGACAGTTCTGTAAATGAATTGTTAGAATATCTTTAATTAGTAATTCAGACCAGTAACACGGTTATGGCCTCCAGAAAGGGCCTGTTAACCAACCTCACTTGTATGCTAGTCAATACATTTCTTAATCAATTATATCTCAGCTGTTAAATTGACTCTAACCTGCTGCTGAATTGACTGAAGAAATGAGGTCAGTTTAGTTACTTTTTGCAGTTTAGCTGGTGAGGCAGACTTTTTAAGATCATTGATCAAATACAACATGAAATGTGTTCATCTGAATCAATCAGATTCTTTTTAGATTTAAGCGACAAGTCATTGACTTCATGAGTCAGTGCAGTGTTGATGTTTTTAAGTAATGACACGTCAAATAATTCTAGCACGAGCCAATAGATAGCAAGTCGCCTGTGCTGACCACTAAATGTCAAATATGCATTTTAGTAGAAAAATAATATGAAATGTAAGGAATTGAGTAGTTTTCTGCATCTTGTTTAACTGTGACGACACCAATGAAACTACTGGTTTTGCATCTGAACTTTATATGCTAATTAAATATTGTGATACATCAAACTACAATTATGTGATTTCTTTTTAATTATTTCTTTTTTATATTCTGATACCCAGAAAATGCCAGATCACTGTGTTGTAGCTCCACATTCAATATATAAATGATTCCCTCCGATCCTTTTCTGAGCTTTTTATTTCTAATTTTCCTTTTTTCACAGCTTTGACCTTTCTAACGTACACCGGATTACATAAGATATAGAAATGGAGAAATGAAGTTTGAGACGGGAAGGACAAAATGTGCACCAACAGTTTGTCTCAATAGCTTACAACAGTTTTGACTCGACTGACCTATGAAGTGCATGCAATGTTGCAGCGTGTAAAATTGCATAATTTCAGTACATATTCCAGAGGAGTTTACTGCAAAGAGCCACCAACAGACTGACTTATACGGCTGACTCAGGTTGCATGTAATGGAAGAATTGTAGATGCAGGACGGTGTAGGAAAGTAATGAAGTACATTTACTAGTACTGTAAAAGTAAGAATAATTAGTTTTGTACTCCTGCATTTATTTAATGTTACTTTTCAGATACAGATTAGTCATACAAAATATAATCAAATCATGTGTCGTTACTATAGTGTATAGTTATGTGTATTACTTTTGGAACTTTAATATATATTTATAGTCTTTTGTACTTTTACTTCAATATTTTGAATGCAGGACAGAGAAGCGGGTTGGTTGCTGCTGGAGTCTGAGCTGAAGTAGTTTCTTGTGAACCTGCAAGTTTGTGTAATTTTGCGCAGAATCCGACCCGGTGGCACCGATGACATTGAGATGAACTAGATAGAAAAAGACAATCCTCTCGCTGATGGTCTCTTTGACTTATATAGTTCATATAGAGGCTTCAGTTTCATAACCAGTAAAAAAAGTTCATCACAGTAACATTAAGTAAAATATCTGAGTACTTCTTCCACCACTGATGCCTGATGAAATTTCATATGATACTACCATCTTCATGAAAAAAAGAATCTTTTATATATTTAAATATTTTGTTGTATTTAAAAACACAATTTATTAAAAAAAATATATGAATAGAAAAAGACAAAACAATACGAATAAGGAAAGGTAGAGTAATGGCAGTAAAGATAAAATAGTAATAATGAAAAATAATTGCAATACAAACAAAAAAAGAAGAGCGACACCTGGGATTAAAAAACATCAGAAGACAGTTTGTGAATTCGACTGGTAGAACAGAAGGGACAAACTAATACACAATATACAACAATATAAAATACAGGTTCTTTGCACAGCATATTTTGACACATTTTTATGTAACACCAGAAACTTTGAGTACACAACATGCAGCAAGCCGGCCGCAGGAACAAAACTTTTGTTGCATCAGTTTGCAAATGTAATGTTTGGTGTAGACGTAAGGATTTTGAGTTTTGGATCATTGTAGGAAACACATGTTCCATTGACTGATATTCTTTTAGGTCGAAGATACTACATTGAATAACATTGATATCTGGATATAATGCACAGTATCTTCCCAGTAAAGGTTACTGATATAGTTGCAATAATTCAAAGAAGATTACACTGATAGCATTATGCAGGTTTAGGCTGCTCTTGTGAGAGGTAATACTGTCAAACATATCGTCTGTTTTTCATAATTTCTTAGGTTTAGACGGTTCACACCTTCAGTCAAACTAGTCATTTGTTCTAATAAAATACATTTTAATGAAACAGTAGCACAGGTAGAAAAAAAAGATGAACACTTGCATACAAAAACATCCTCAGGCTATTTGAGGAACATTATTAGTATATTATTGTTTTATATTGGTGATGATACAGTTTTCTATGCAACGTGAAGAGCAAGACTACTCCATAGAAAACAAGCTGAAAACAAACATAGCGCTCACTAATAAGGCCAGATCAGGAAGTCACTCTCACAGATTAATTTGTTTTGCATTTCACAGGATGCTGGATCCCAGCTGGCTGTAGGATTCGTCTTGGGGATCATCAGTCCACATTGACCAGTGGTAGCAAAGTCTTCCTTTAACCAGTACCTTCAAACACACAACATGAATATCAATACCTGTATTGATATTCTACCTCTGCTGCCCATGAACAAATAAATAATAACAATAAATAAATATTTCTGAGCATTTTGAGGACTTGTCATCCATGTTGGCTTAAAGCTTGAAATTGAAAGAATCAATCACCAAAATAAGTTCTTCTGGTTCTGGTTAAAAAGCTGCCCATACATTTTTTCCTGATTTTAAAATCACACTCCAAACACATGATAAGCTACTAAATTCACACAGAAAAAAGTAATTCAAGAAATTAACACACTTCCTCTTTTTTCAGCAGGTTCTTAGTTTCATAAGTTGCATGAAATGTACTGCCTTGCTTAAGGGCACTTTCATATATTGCAAGTTTCTACAAACAGCCGTAACTGGGTTCATCATAAGGTTGTTGACAGGTGAGACCTGGTGGAAGCTCACCAGAGATGACTAAATTCAAACGTATAATGAATGATGAAATTAAAAAGTCTTTCTTACCCTAGAGTGTCATTACGTCCATCAACCCAGACCCAGTTGTTGTCTTCGGTTTCATATAATCCGAGCCAATATCCATGAAAGTTGTCGAAGTAGTACTTGATGTGATTACTGATGAATTCCTGTAAATCATACCGTGACAGATCATGAAAAACATGCACATTTTTCACACTTCCAGACATAGATTCTGAACATTTAAATTACTGACTGTTTATATAGATTTTTTTTCCTCCATTGCATTATGGTTGTAATGTGAATTTTCTTTTTCCTGGGTACTCTGAATTGCCATTTAATGTCTAAATCTGAATTGAAACAGTTAAAAACTCTTGAGTTACTGTGGCTTTATGTTGTTAGAGCTCACCTGTTCATGCAGATTATCAACAACAACGAGATCTGCAGCTGCCTTTTGGCAATACTCTTGGCTTTGTTTCCATGTCTTCCAAGGAGCATTTTTACTGTAAAACAGGTAGCACTTTTCCTGGAACATAATCCACTCGCTCTGGCACGGCTGACACTCTGCATTCATGAAAAAAGCAGAGAAATAGAGCAATACTAGAATCTTTTATTTAAAAAAATACAATGGAATAACACAAATGAAGTTTAATAAAAAAAGTATTAGGTCCCAATGACTGATTTTTATGCATCCAGTATAACAATTACAAGCCGTGCATGTTATATTAAAACACCAATAAAATACCAACAACAGCTGGAAGGAAAAGGGAGAGAGAAACAACCTCCAAAAGTTTTTTAGCCATGTTAACGGCATGGTTCTAGTAATGTCTGTCTGTCCATAGGTCTGTCTATCACTTTGGTCCAGAGTGAAATATCTGTTTGGTGGATTGCCATGCCGTTTGGTTCAGATGTCAATGGTGTCCAGAGAATTAACCCTACTGATTTTGGTGATCTCCTGACTTTTCAGCAGGTAAAGTTGTCATTTATCCAGAGAAATATCTCAATCTCAATCAATAGGTTATGCGTCATGTGTGTATTTTTACTCTAATCCCTTTTTTTTTTTTTTCGCCTGAAGGTTTAACTTTTTTTTTTTCAGATCAGCTATCTTTCTTTAGCTATATCTTACAGAGTGCTGCAGGAATGAGTCCTATAACCGGAAAGAAGTTGGCATTTTTGCACTCGTGGTACCCTCATCTTGAAGTCAATAGGGTTTTTTTTTAGCTTTTGGTTGTATTAAGTAGCATTCTAAGTAACTAAGTGTTAATGTACTGTGGGGCTAACTTATGTATTTTACTCTGTTTACTTGCTGTGTACGTTTACACGGTTGTAGTTCCTGTGACTTAATGTTTATCTTTCGCTGGCGACACTTGTTCTTTGTGTGAGGGGCAATATTTGGCTCTTTTGACAGCGAATCTACTCTGTTGTCAATTCACTTTTCTTGTTACTGTACTAAATTATTTTTTACAATGCCTCTGGCTTCTTGTTCATGGAATATCTTTTGGAGTTTTTGTATTTTACCCTATTGTTTTCACAGTTTCACAATTACTCTGAGTAGAAACTTTGAAAGCCAACTGCTGTCCTCAGCTTTCATTGCAGAGCGTATGAACATACGTGCAGGGATACTGCCCTTAATCATCCCTACGTATTCCCAGTCAGCTTATGTGGCTTAAGAACTAGACATGGTCAACATAGCAAGACGCACTTACTTTTGTCTGGGCAGTATTCATTCACTGGAAAGGTGTTAAATTCCATGATGATTCCCAGCGTCCAGTTGAGATTGTCTGTGACTCTGCTTAAGATGCTCCTCTCCTCGATCAGCAGCTCATTTACTGCTGTGAGGTTGCTGAGGTTTGCTCTCTGTTCTTTCATCACACAACTAACTAGAATGGGAAGGAGACAGCACATCAGTCAGTCAGTCAATCAATCAGTAGATGCATTTGGTGTCATCAACAAAGCCTTATTATTAACTCACAGTGGATGATGACACTGATGCTCGCCACCAGGAGGACACAAAGTATCCCCAAACACGCCGCCAACACACCAAAGTGAGAGCATGCAGCTGCTTTACCATCTGCGTGTAAGTGAGAAAACTCATATTCAAATCACAATTGTAGTTATAATCAAGTCACTCATTATTGTTATTATTATGGAATATGTATTGTCATTTTGTATTGTAACACACTGTACAACTGTGACTTATACGTTTAGATCCATGTACATTCTAAACTATACTACTATCATCACTTCTATACTCATACAGGACATGTAAATAATAGCTATTGATGTTTTTTAGGAGCATTTCGGAGTAAATTTGGCAAAATGATATGAACCTAAACCACCCAACATTCAAGTTAGATGTCAAAGCAGGTCAAAAAGAGCCGATTTAGCGTTATTTTATTGACTAAACTAAAAAGGACAGTCAACAGATTTTTTTAACTTACCCGGTTCGGTAGCAGCCTCTTTAGGTTTCACTTCAGAAACAATTGGTGGGTCCTCTTTTTTCTCTGAACGACAGAAACAACAACGAAAGGAAATGGGAAGAGAGAAGTGACTTAATAATAGGGACAAACCTTCACAATGTCACAATGAAATGTCTTTAAGTGTGACTGATGTAAAGTACTTCCCGTTGAAACATAAGTGGCATAATCTGGTTTGGGTAGTAACGGATTACTTGTGGTCGTGCGAACAAAATAATTATAATCAGACCAGGTTACATTTGAAAGAAGATCTGACATCAGATTATAGTTACATTGTTAAAGATTACTTGATTACATTCTAAAATGTACGTTTATGCCAGCATGTTTTTGTGAGGGTTAGTCTAATCTGACCAATTCTAAATGATAAATATACATTACTGTTGATCAAAGTAATGTGGCCTTTGATTAAAAAACAGCAGCAACAAAACGTACACAAAAGAAACAGCATCCCACATATTGCACATAGGAGTTTGTGCTAATACTGTCTTTGTATGGATTATTTGATTTGAGCAACAGCAAATATTAATAATACTGGAAACTGTGCTGTTGAAAAAAGTGTTGTTAAAGTGTTATGTACTATATTGCATGGAAGATAAATCTTGCAAACCAATGAAGTGACCTTATTTTTGTTACTACAAGGGTCACCGTATGTGACTCTTCCACACAGAACCCTGATAAAGATGTTAAATAGTCTATGAAATGCACAATTTAATAAAGCAGGAGTCACTTACCCTTTGGAGCTGCAGCACTATTATTAAACACCAGCGTAGAATAGGTGATGTCTGTCTCCATCCTTAAAAGTCGTAGATCACCGTACTTGCTTCAGTGCAGAGAATGTGTGTGTGTCGGTGTGTGACTGAACAAAATTTCCCAGCACTACTTGATAGAGAACAAAAATTGCAGCTTCCGAGTTTGCATTATGACACATTTTTCCCGGACTACCTCAAACAGTGATACTAAAAGGTCCAATGTGACTTTGCGGTTGTTGATTACACAAGATGTAAAAAGTACATCTGCTTCTGTAACGACCAAATGTTCAAACTTTTGCAAAAGAAGAAGTTGACACAGTTTTGCATTAGATCTAATGCTGAACTGATGATCAGTCTACCTGTAACACACTGTCTGGTGAAGGGACAACATTGGTGTATTGTCTTCATCATTTCCCCTCCTGTCTGTAGCACTCAGCCCCAATTTTATTTAAAAATTTGTCACATATATCATTTCATTTTTTTAGAAGACTCAGTAGAAACAGGTTTTATCAAACAGGAGTAAATTGTGCGTTTGTTGGGGACTATTTTCAGCAGTGGATGAATACACATTTGATGCTTTAAAGTATTTATGGCAGCAACATGGGGTATGTGGAAGTGCCTCAAAATAAACTATAATGAGCATGTTCCAAGTAATGAGAGAACATGTCACTCACTGCAATAGTTTAATCGTTTTAATGGAGGTTGTATGGTGCGGTAAAAAAAGATACAGACATTGTTTAGGTCTTTTTTATATATTAAATTAGAGTATTTAATTCTTAGGAAATGTTTGTAATTTATACTCAATGGTGACTTTATTAGGTATACATGTACAATCTGTTGCAGTTCAATGCGACATTGACGGAAATGTGTGAATTATATGTTAATCATTGAGGTCATAGTTAACGTTGTACTGGTTTACATTATATTACAATATAATGTAAACCAGTCGATACATCAACTTTGTACTCACTATTAACATACTGTATATGAGGAGAGCAGAATATTAGGAACACCTCTCAATATAATGCAGTCCAGTACAACACCACCACTAACTATGCCCACAATGCTATCGAATAACATTGAATCAAAACTTCTATGACAGTGTAACATCATAATATATATATATATATATTTATTTATTTAATTTATGGCAGAGCCATTGAATTGCATTACATTGGACTGTACAGTTGTGCCTTATATGTCCAAGGAATGTGAACAGAATATAAAATTCAAAAAGCAGAAAGTAGATAGATGATTCTTTATTCGGTTTGCTTTCTTATCTCTTTAATATATACATATATTCAAGCTGCCATATATATCTCAAATGTGAGTTTGTACTCTGCAACATTTGTAGAGATAGATACAACAATATGCTTACGTCTTTACTAAAAACAACTACAACAAAAAACAGGCCATACATCAGTTTTGACATCCCGAGTCGATAGATATATTTCTTTAATGTTTTATAACCCATATTGATAATGCAGCTGACTCCTAATCTGGTTTGATCAAGGCTCTGGTTTCACAGATCCAGCGGTTCCTCATGGTACAGCTCGCTTTGTGCCAGTTGGCCAGAGGATCTGCTCGTTTCTGAATTAGACCACAATGTTCTCCGTATCTGTACTGTTGTGTTTTCCAGTACCTGGTGAAGAAAAAAACCCACATGATATCAATCTGTGTTTCTCAACATTTTGGGAAATATTCCTAGTTGCTTCTTGCAGAGAGTTAGATGAGAACATTGATAATATGTTCCTACACGAGAGTGGTATCGAAAGCAGATAAGCATATTTACCCAAAATGTTCCCCAAGCTATTCCTTTAATGCTAAAGTCTACTGTATGATTAACGGTTGTCTCCTTAAATTTGTTGCTTCCTCCCTTTTTGCTTCTTTTGGCCAAGTTTTTGTCTTTTGCATTACCGAGGGAGATGTTGATCGGGATTTCTCCATCTGCTTTTTACAAATTTCACCATCTGCCACTTTAGGAAACTGGACGATTTCTGCTTCATTTGGCCTGTCCGTCAGATTTCTCTACAACCCAGCAGCACAAAGTGTAAAACGCAGCATACAAGGGGGGGAAATACTGCCAATCCTCTTGCCGATGGTCTGGTTTGTTTAGAATAAAGATAAAGTAATGTGTCTGAATTACTGTGGTCACAATTCACTGAGGTTAAAATGGCAGATGTGGCATCTTTTGAGGGACAGTGAGTGTGTTTTTTTGCACTTACTTCACAGTGAAGTTGCTTCCATCTACCCACGTCCACGCGTCCCTTTTGCTCAAGCCGATCCAATAGCCATGGCTTTTATCATTGTAGTATTCCGTGTAGGTATTGATGAATTCCTACATTTGTTATGCAGGTGATGATTGAGAAAGATTTATCTATTTGTCCTCATTATAATAGATTAATAAAACATATTTACAATATATAATATTAGGTAGATTAGATAGCTAGATGGTAGATTTCGTACAAAAAGATGCAATACATTGTGCTTCACAAAGATGGAAATACACACATGAAAAGACATATGTGAGAAATAGTAATAATAAACCTAAAAATGGATAATTTAAGTGGCTGTGAAGCTTAGGTGATTTTTTTGTGGTCAACTTTATGGTGCAATGCAAAACATTCTATTTAGACAATTATAATGAAAGGATTAACTAACTATATATATTTATAAATATATAATATCTTTGTTTCATGTGTTGACCGTTTTGGACATGATTCATTTCTATCTCTATGAAAATAGAAAAATAGATCAAATTAAATCAGTCTTGCCTGTTTCTCTTGGCTTTCAATCACCACCAGATCTGCCTTCATTTGTGTGCAGTGATCACGGCTTACCTCCCAACTCCTCCATTGGGAGGAATATTCAGATGTTGAAAACATGTAACAGTTTGACTGGAACAGCACCCAGCCATCCAGGCAAGGTTTACACACTGTTCAACAAGAACGAGACAACAAAATCATAATCGTTTTCTATTACAGATAACATTTTTATATATATTGTATATATATACATTCTGCAGGTGGCCTCGGTAACATAAACTTATTTTCAGTTGATTATACACCAATAAAAACATATGAATGTTATATTCCATTTCTGCTAATAGATCCCCTGAAGGCCACACACTGGCCCTCTAATGTGTATGTTGCATTTTACTGCTGTGGATGTTTGAATGTGTGCTAATTCGAACTCCTATACTGTTGGGCAGTTTGATCTACAGCAATGCATCTTATGTTTGTAGCGTCGCTGTCCTGTGAGAGTGAGTGATATTGTAAAGTTACAATATTCGCCTCATAAAGGCTCAAGTGAAGTATAAATACTTTGACTTTGTATAAAGTAAACAGTACTTGAGTAAATGTACTTCCACTACTGACAAAAAGTACACCCTGTTTTCACCTTTCTGTGGGCAGTGTGTATTCACTGGGAAGTTCTCATATTCCAGGATGACTCCGACGGTCCAGTTGAGCCCGTCTCTCTCTCTGGTCAGCTCTTCTGTCTGTTTCTCTAAGTTGGTCTTTTCTGTCCACAGCTGCAGATTCTGTGCCGTTAAGTTGATGTTTTCTCTGTGCTGCTCTGACATGATTGTGCTGACTGCAGTTGGGGAAGAAACCGTTACTGTTGCACTTACTTTTAATATCAAACTGAGTTGAAAGTCCTGGACAAGAGGTAGACGGACTTACAGTAGATACTGAGTGTGATGACGACCGACACCAAGAGGACACAAATAATCCCCAAACCTGCTGCCACCAGATGAAGCAGTGTGCACAGTGGAGCTCTCTTTGTATTTTCTACCGAGAGAAAAAAAAAACAATCAATTTATTTTACTAATTTGTAGCAAATAGTCATCACCAGCTGACATCACCAGATGTCAGCTTGGCTGACATCTCGAAGTGGATGACGACACACCACCTCAAGCTCAACCTGGACAAAACCGAGCTAGACCTCGTCGCTCAGAGGTCCCTGCGGCCGATCGACCCGGTCGCGGCTGTTTTCTGTCCTGGCCCCACAGTGGTGGAATGAACTCCCCACTGACGTCAGGACGGCAGAGTCGCTGCCCATCTTTCAGCGCAGGCTGAAAACTCACCTCTTCAAGAAGGCCTACCCTTCCGCTTAGCACTTACTTAGCATCTATTGTATTCATACTAGCTTATTGCACTTCTTGTTTTTATAATAGTTTGTGGCACTTATTGCATTCGTTTGTTTCTGCACTGTACGTTGGCTCTGGTTTATACTCTTAGATGCTTGTTTGAGGAAAGGACATGCACTTATGACTTCTGGTGACTAGTTCTCTCGAAAACCGATGTTGAATACACTTATTGTAAGTCGCTTTGGATAAAAGCGTCTGCTAAATGACTGTAATGTAATGTAATGTAATCATCATCAATCATATTTCATGTTTTTTAATCATGGTAAACTCTAAATAACCTGGTATGGCAGGATTTGTATCCCATGCCTGCTCCCCGCAGGTCTTCACCTCTTCATAGATTACTTCTAGGTCGCTTGGTTTCTCTGCAAAAAACAAAAGAGTTTATTAAAGGAAATGAGAACTTTAAATTCTGAGATTAGAGACTTTCAAAAGTCACTTCCCTGTCTAACGTTTCGGGAGTGTAGTGTTAGCACCTTTAAGTTAAGTTACGTTTAGATCTTAACATGTGGCAATGCTGAAATGCTGCAGTCGCAAACAACAGATGTCTCATGGATCAGCTATGAGACTATCAGATATGTGTTGAAGTGAGAAAAAGATTTTTCTAAATCTAAAGAAACTTAAGTGGACATTTAGAGGAATTGCTTTTACACAAGCAAAGACATTTATTACAAAGTATGTCTGGGAGCTGCCTGATACATGCAGAGTGGTGGTTAGGTAAAAGTAGCAATACCACAATATAAAAATAAATAGGAGCTCTGCATTCAAAATGTTTGGCAAGTACAAGTATTGTCAATAAAATACATTGCTGATGCATCGGGCTACTGTGTAAACAGCACTTCAGTGTGTTCAGTGGAACATATTATTTCTGCAATGTAAAAATGTTACTTTACAAATGTATACATCAAACAAATCCAATCAAATGTAAGTTTGAAGTAGCAGCAGAAAGCAAGTAGCTCAAATCTGCACTTGTAAGTACTGGAGTAGATGCACTTTCCACTACTGTCAACAGCTGCAGTTAGACAGCTCTGGGTTCAGCTCAGCAGACAGAACTATCTTACATCATTAAAGTACAACAAAAAACATGACTCACCATGTTCAGATATACCATCGGTCTTGAACTTCACCATCACGTAATTCAGTTCTTCCTCCATTATCTTATCAGGGTTATCAGAGACAGTATTCACTTTATCTCAAAGACAGCAGCATAAAACCCAAACCACCGCAGAGGTTTTAATGCAGGCTGTTGTGAGTGAACTTTGGTTTGGTTTCAGACATGTAGTAACAACTGTGAGTGATCACGACCTGCACTTCTTCTTTTGTGGAATGTTGTAAGACTGACAAAGTGATGCTTTTTGGGATGTGATATTTTTAGACAGGCACATATTTCAGCAGAGGCCAGGCCATCACCGGTCTGATTTTTAATTTCAACAGAGTTGGCAGTGAAATCTTTTACTACACCAGATGGCTTGCTATTTTGACTGCCTCTCTTATTTTCTTTATCAAAGTAGACATTAGTTAGCACATTAGTTGTACTGATAAGTCTCAAACGATACCTTGTCTCCCCTTTTAGCTTTATCTGTGAAGTACACTACTCTTCTTACTTCATCTTGAGCTTCTTACAGACAGAAAACACAGCCCACTATATTTATCCAAACAGTGAGTTTCCTCCTTCATGCAAATCACTTGCTCTTCTGCCCTCTGCTGACTCGTGATTTTCCCAATACTCGGTTCTTCAAACATCATCTGGTACATTTATGTGATTAAAATAGATTTTAATTTAAAAACAGATGCAGTTTATTCTGAAGGTCTGAATTTACCAAACCAGGCCAGCAATACCTTAGATCAATCACAAGTCAAAAGCAAAGATGAGCAAAAGATCCCACTGGAAGAAATGATGGAGTGTTCACCGGAGTCTTTGTGTTTTCTCGCCTCGCAGGTTTCCGTGGATCCTGGTGATACCTGGACCCTGGTCTTGCCTCCCGCCGTGGCTCTGTCATATGCATTGAATGTGTCGTAACTCTGTTATGTTGTTCATTCTGTACACATGACATCTATTGCACTTCTGTCCATCCTGGGAGAGGGATCCCTCCTCTGTTGCTCTCCCACAGGTCTCTTACTCTTTCCTCCCCATTAAGGGTTTTCTCTGTTCCGATGTGACGGTTCCGGGACAGAGGATGTCGTATGTGTACAGATTGTGAAGCCCTCTGAGGCAAATTTGTAATTTGTGATTTTGGACTATACAAAAATGAATTGAATTGAATTGAATTGAGTGAGAGACTTCCATAGCTCAATAGACAGATTTGACCTTTTTAACCTATAAGTAAACACCAGCAGATGGCGATCTAAAACTCCATTTACAGACAGATGTAGTCTTACACTCAGTTTACACTCAGTTGGCAGTCAATAAGGTACACCTTGCTAAATCTAACGCAGTCAAACACAACAGACCTGCAATACATCTTTAACACTATTGTGAACTATTTTTATTCAGTTTTGTTGTGAAACAATTAAATATACAATCATACATATATTCATAAAAATGTATGAGTGAATAAAATGCAGGATCAAAATGAAGATGAGGTCATTGGTAACCTTTTACCCATCAGGGACTCAATGATCTGGGTTAATTAGTACTTGACTGTGGAAAAAAACTATAATGACGTATGTGTAATAAAGGCAACTGACCAATCAGCGTGCAGGATTTGTTCAGGAAACGTTTTCACCTGCAGGCAAGAAGCCTGAAGGAACCAGAGAGCCTCGAGACTGACGCAGTCTTGTTGAAAAGCCTGGAGAAGTAGAAATCGATTTGTTTTTAAGGACTGTACCGGCGAGCAGCGATGGTATGCGGCGGATTTATTTGCACCAAGAACGCACTCAGCGCTCTTAATGTACTTTATGTTGTAAGTATGAATGTACCGATGTGAAATAACCGAAATAACTGGTTTAAAACGGCAACAGCTGTCTCCGCTTCTGTCCTGACTTGTGCTAATATTTAGTCTAAGACGAGAAGAGATTCAAATGTTTCGGTTGTTTTGTCTCCTTGTTGTGGAAACGGACAGGTGGTGGTGGTGAATGATTAGACCCAGTGAGTTACCAACACTGCTAGCCTATTATTGGTGGATTTCCTCAGAGAATATAAAAACGTAATCATAAATAAACTTCTATAATACTTCATTGTTTTACCTCTTTCAACTGAAGTGAAACACCTGTATGTAACTCTGAACAACCTCTGTAATCAAAAAACCCAAAGCACTGCTTTACTCTTTGTTGTTTTTTGTCAATGCTGCTAATGTAGCCTGTTTTTAATTGTATACCTTACTTGTGTAATAACTCTGGAGCTGCTATCTACATACAGAACTGTGTCTCTTATTCTTTAGTAAAGTTGTAAAAGTAAATAAAGTAAACATATACATATCTAACAGATGCATATCTAAGGTATCTATTTTAGCAGTAAATCCAGTTGCCTTTTGATTTGAAAGTGCAGAGAAAAACGATGTTTATTCTATAAAAGTCCTCAGCCACTAATTATTCAAACACCAATAATATAGATTTACTTGGAGCTGCAACGTTAGTCTATTGATCGAATAAGTGGATTGACAGAAAATTCCTCTGCAAGTATTTTTGATGAATACATAATTACTTTAGGCAAAAAAATGCTGAATATTAGCTTTTCTAATATGAGGATTTTGATATGATAGTAACTGACTTCTTTGGGTTTTGAACTGGTAGTCGGATAAAACACCACATTTGAAGACGTAAACTTTTCGTCTGTGTGAAATTCTAAAAGGCATGTTGCACAATTTTCTGACATTTTAGACAAAACAATTTATCAAGAAAACAATCTTTAGATGAATGTTTAATTTAAATAATAATTATGTGTAGCCCAAGATTTCCAACTAATTTCAACACTATGACTTTTTTTAGTTTATTCAAGGCCATACTTACTGGTTTGGCTTCAGAAGTGGTGGGGACACAATGCTTGGGAACACTTGTGCATCGACCTGTTTTCGGAAAAGGAAAATTGTCGTAGTCTGGACCGTGGCTGATAGTCCCTTTTTTGAAGAGGAGACATCCTGGTGACATTGATTGTACTTCCTTCTTATCTCCATGGTTACATTGTTTACTTCCTCTTCAGTTGGTGAGTCTGCTGCTGATCGGAGTGGCAGCCTGGGGGAAATGGTTCGACCTGGTCTCCAGCATCCGGGTGGTGGCAGGGGTCATCAGCGTGGGCATCTTCCTGTTCCTGGTTGCCATTGTGGGACTGTGCGGCGCAATGAAGCACCACCAGGTCCTCCTCTTCTTCGTATCCTTTTGATTTGTTTGTAGAAGTACAGCGAGTCATCCACCTCACACCTTCTGCCAAAGCAGAATGAAAAGTAAATAACCCACAGCTCCTGGAGGCTTTTATTCCTCTCATGAGCGTGTGTTTTAATTGTCCTTTTTTAAATGGTTAGTGAAGCAGCAAAACGCCGAGATTTCAGACTTTTAAATCCAATGTCGGCTTCCTAAACTTGCTCCAGTACATGATAATCCTGTTCACAGTGTTTGTCATGCAGTTTTCTGTGTCCTGTGCTTGTCTGGCCCTGAATAAAGACCAACAGGTATGTTTATTTTGTGTACATTCCTTTCAGTAAAAGTGAAATACTCTCACATGGGTTTAATGATCCTAACAGTGTAGATTTCACAAAATTCTATAATTGCACAAATAATGTTTATTCTTGTTCATTGCTCTTGATTTTTCTCATGCTTTTGAAATAGAAAATTAAACATAAATACAACCAGGCTGTGTGATATTCATTCACAGAACCATCTGCTGGAGGTTGGATGGAACAAGTCGGCGGCCACTCAAAGGGACGTAGAAAAGACCCTCAACTGTTGCGGCTTCTTTTCTGTTCCCATCAATGGCTCATGTGCTGCTGTAAGTAAATCAGACTGGAATATTCTTTTCATTTTTATATTCTTTTCTTTTTTTCATGATGTCATCTCTGGCAGTTATTTAATTTGCAACCCTCGCTTCTTCTAGAGTTGTTATAAGCCTGTCTCTCCATCAGCCTGTGAGACGTGCTCCAACACCATCCAGCAGATTGCGGGAGAGGTGCTGCGGTTTGTGGGTGGTATCGGACTCTTCTTCAGCTTTACAGAGGTCAGTAAAATGTGGAGTGGGTGCTGATGTAGACATTAAGATACATTTGCGGCGTGTTGACGTTTATTGTAGGCCTAAGATTCAGAAAACTTGACACGCCAGTGTGCGAAATACCCGTTGGCAATCAAGGGTTTCCCCACTACCTAGTGCTCCAGTGTTACTGAAGACTTGGACTCAATACGCAATATAGCCTACAAGATTTCATGGATGTAAGCCAACTAGGCTATACATGCTTTGCAGGCGCACCACCAAGGCTAAAAACCCTGCTGCTCTCCAGGTTGTTAAGAATAAAGTTGGACATACTGATCTTTTAAAGTACATTTCAAGTGACAAATAGATCTTTTGAATATCATTTTGTTTGTCAGGCGGTCTCAAGCGTCGATAGGGGGTCTCGTTCCTCCTGTATTTCGCACACTTCTTTACGCTCCTCTTTCTTTTATTTCAGATCCTTGGAGTTTGGCTCGCCCACAGATACAGAAATCTCAAAGATCCTCGATCAAATCCCGGAGCCTTTCTATAACCACTCACAACTCATAAAAGGCCCAAAATGTACTACTGAATAATCTCTTAACTTCGTAAATCACTCTTATCGGGACATTTGTACGCTTTAATACAGCTTTTTGCTGTATTCAATTATATTATATGATAATGATGGTAAGATAAAGTGTAACAGTAATACAAAAAGGGAAAAATCACTCTTAAGTCTTAAAGACGGCTACACAGAATCTGTCAGAAATTGCTCACTGCTAACATTAGCCTCTGGTTATACCAGACCAAGTAAGGCTGTAACTACAAAAACCCTGTGTATTGAACTGAGGAAATGTTTTGTTTTTTATTGCTTATGAATATATGTTTGCTTTAATATTTGCTCCTTGATTACTTTAATTTAAAATATACTTTTTTTTGCTGTGAATATGAATTGTCTTTCTTTTCAGGAGTGGTTCAAGGATTAGGGAAATAAGCTTGTTCTTTGAATTAGATGACTTTTGGCAAGAAAGCAAATAATAAAACTATTCCTTTAAGTGACACTTGGTGCATGTAAGCATTGCCTCTTTAATTCTAATCTGTCTCAAAGTGATAGACGTTAACAGCAGATGTCTATGCTCGCTATGCACACACACACACACACACACACACACACCTTATGCAAATAAACTGCAGGTGAGCACCATGAGTGCTCACCACTCCCAGACTATGCATGGGTGACCACACGTGTTTTGCAGACAGTGGATTTGGGTGTTGGGTGTCCTTAACAGCAGGAAAAGATTATATTCAATTGATTGTATTAAAGTCAATCCTGTTGCAGCTTGATAGACATTCTGTCATGAAACCAGGTTTTTGTTTTATGTGTATTTATTGCTCTTTGTTTCCTGTTAAACACATCTTATGCATTCATACTAAATATTCTCTTATATCAATACTCTTTTTCCATCCAAAAATAAACATGCTGAGTTTTAGCACATGTAAGAGGAATGTTGTATTTCATGCTTTGCTTGTCAGGTTTAATGGTAATGGAGAGCGTTGCTTTCACTCAGGAGTCGATGACTTGTTCACATTCCTCACCCCAAACAGGATCCTGACCAGGAACTGCACTCGCGGTTTAGATTCATTTGATCGCCTCAACAGACTCCTCAGTTGGTCCAACCAGTTCAGCAAGGTGACTGAACTTCACTGCTACAATGCCATTGTAAAATATGTCACTGTGTGAACTGCATGTAATTAACTGCACTCTATATTTAGATCTATTCATTTTGTGAACAGATAATTATTTACCAGCATACATTGGCAGGGTGGAACTAATCACATGACCTTATTTAGACGGTGATATTTATATTTATTTAAATGTTTCAGTTTATAAGTTGAAAGACAAACGTGTGTAGATTGTTTTATTGTTGACACACATGTTCAGGCTTATTACAAAATGTACAGATCACCGAATCCTTGTAACGTGTTTATACTTTTTTTTCTTTAACATCACTCTGGGGAGCAGTATTGCAACATAGTTGTGATTTGCTTCACCACCACTGCCAAACATTTAAGTTGTAAGGTAGTAGTGGACAAAGCTTAAATGAATGCAGTTTGTTGTAATATGTAAAGGGTCTGTTACAAATGTGTAAAATGTGGTTTAATGCTGTATGCTTTCCAAAGTTAGGGTATTGTAGCTTACTGGATATTTACAAGTGATTCAAATATCTAAGCTTTGGTGTCTTGAAGAAAAAACAAGCTTTGAGCTAAATTAAAGAATGTAAAGTTTGCTGGGATGTCATCATGTAGTAACATGGAAAGATTTTAAAAGTTATTCTTACTCTACACCACTTCAAATACGGTCTTCTGCATAGGCTGCACTTTTCTCCTCGTAGATAAATAGATTTGTATAATAGTAAGGAAGTGAAGACTGCATACTGTTTTGATGAGAAAATGGGATTTACAGGAACCGAAAAAATCTTTAAAAAGCGTTATTTGAAAAGTACCACTTTATTTTAACATGCACATTTTGAGACCAAACTTGGGAGCATTTTGTGTGATGAGTTTAAAAATTAAAATTGAGCTACAGTATTTGTAAAATACTACAATAACCATAATTCTTTGCCAAACAAGCTTGATACTTCTTCCTGGGTCACAGGTAATTTGGGGAGAAGCAGAGAGGAAGCACATGGTGAGTTATGTTGTTCAAACGTGTAAATGTGTTTGTAAATTATAGAGATATCAAAATCATATGGTTTAACACCAAGTCGTTTAATTTGCCCCTGCTGACCTTTACAGCAGTTCAATTGTGATTTTATGTAGCAATTACTGTTGAAATGAAATTAGCCCAGATGGTTGAAAAGATTGAAGTTAACTGTTGGAAGTTGACATGTAAAATGTAGAAGTTGACCGGGTGTTTTCTCAACTAGGAAGGCCCTCAGTCACTTACATCTCAACATAAGACATTATGATACCGTGTCTTATATCTCCTTCACAGAGTGATCAAAGTAGTGTGTGTTGCATCAAACCCATGCTTCTTTGCCACATTTGCTCGTGAAGAAAAATATAGCAATCTCTTGTCAGAACACTCCAAACTGTACCCCTCAGCTGAAAGCTTCAAAGCCACATTTGAAAGGCCATGAACCTGCTTTTCTTCTAAAGCTGTGTTTGGCATAGTGCCTGAAGCATGTCCAGCACTCGGAGGTTGTTATCTGTGGAGCTTTTGTCACAGTCACCTCATATTGCCTGAAGGGGGTCTTTGCTGAAATGGGGGCACGGACAGAAATATCTCAGGTTTTAGTCTGAAGCCATTACTGCACATAATCTTGGCTGTAAACTTCAACAAGGCCCTTGAGTTTCTAATATGTCTAGTCAATCTGGGATGCAAGTCTCGTTCTCAGATCAAGCTGACGTTGGCAGCTTGAGAAAGAACTTGGCAACCCGACAAAGTTAAACTTGGTTTCATCCTTTGGGCTGCAGACATTTCAAGTCTTTTCTTTCTGTGCAAGATGGCGTTCATGACCATACAGGGATTGTTTTTTACTTTTTACACCACTGCATTTTTGTACTGCAATTTATTGTTACTTACCATCACACAATCACCAATCCTGATATCTGCGCTAAGCTAAGTCTTCTTTCACCTTTCCCAAAGCAGACAATACTCACAATACTTTTATACTGTATCAAGTTTTTTTATTTTTTATTAAGCTTACTATATATTCATTTAACAAACTGCTTGTTCGTCACATGAAAGTATACTCTTGCACTGGAGAGTATTGACAGGAAGTCTAAAGTCCACTAAATAATGAGAATTTAGGCTCCATATTAACAAAGCAACACGAGGATATGAGGGCAGAATAGACATACAAGTATTCAAACTGAAGTAAAGTGACCGGATGCAGTCTCACTTAGATCTGATACCTTTTTATCAGGAAAATTCTCTCAGCCAAATGTTGGACCAAAATAAACAGAGAAATAAATAGGCACTGGGAGAAGTAGTCACAATAGCATGAGGCAATTAGTCAAGAGAGCTCCTAACTGCTTAAAAAGCCATACAGACAGTTTTGGGGTGTGAGGCTGCGACGAGGAGTAGTTGGATGAAGATCAAAGAAATCAAAAAAAAAAAAAAGATTAAAAACAGCGAGAATCTTGCACTTTTCATATCAGTTGAACTTGATTATGAGTCTGATGAAAAGGCTCTGTGTGCGTTGGGGGACTGCTGAGAGGTGAAATCCGGGTCTTCCCTCACTCGCTTCTTGATGTCCGCTTTGACCTGAGGTATAAAAGAAGAAGAAGAAGAAGATGATATGATTATCATGGTGTCGTACAAGCAGAATGTCAGAAGGGGACTTAGTGTGGCTCGCCTAACACGTTCAGAGAAGGATGGTATCTTCTGAAAACAATCGAAAATCATTCTTTATTTACCATTTGTTTTTAGCTTTCTTTAACAAACACCATTTCCCATAAGTCCTAGACCTTCAGGGGACAAACGCAACAGCTTCGACCTGACAGTAAAAAGAGATTCCAGCTAAAGATGTACTTTAGCACGCGGATGAGTTGAATGAATATGGACGAAAACAAGTAACAATGATGTCAGTATACTTTTAACAAAATATAATTATCTTAGGCTGCATTTATTAAGAACATTATAATTATCAATTATTCTGTGGATTGTATGCCAACGATTAATTGATTGCAAAAATAGTTACAGATTATTTTTCTATTGATTGACAATATTATTATTCAACAAATTGTTTGAGGTCTGCACTTGTCTAATCTACTTATATGAATCGTTGTTGTTATTTTCAAACAATTTCCTAACTTTAGACTTATTTATAACCTCTTGTGTTCTTTAGATACATCTAGCAGTGTAACCATGCATCTCTGTGATTAAGATGGTAAGAAAATGTACATATCATGGCCAACACTATGAAAACAAGAGGACCAGACAGTGGTCATCACTACCCCAAATGATGTGTCCCTGGTTTGTTCTAATGACTTCGTTACCTGTTCTGCATAAGCTTCCTTCAGCTCCTGGGTCTCCAGATCGTCTTGTAATCGCTCAGCAGAAGTGATGGGCTTCACTCCCGCTGTCCTGGCTGCTTGACTCACGGCATCAGAGAGGGAGAGGAGGCTTCCACCACCCAGTCCTGTCTGAACACACACACACACACACACACAGACGGACACCTTGAAGAAGGTAACGACAAGTGACATCCATAAGTAATAAGTGAAGTTACGATTGATCCGATTACCTTCCTGCGCTTAGCTGGCATGCCGTGCAGATAAGCGTCAGACAGCGGGGGCTGAGCTTTCATCTTCCTCTGGGTCATCATATCACACCTGATGATGGGCACCCATTCCTACAACACAGTTAACAGTGAAGATGGGGAATGTTTTCAAGTCAAAACCCTCTTTGTTACTGTTCCTCCATTGCCGCTCAGAGGGAATATTGTACTAACAAACACCTTGGAACATGGAAGTGTGGGATCTCAACGTCCAGTGTGCAACATTGTTTATCTATCCTTTTAGTACTAGTGAGAAGATCCTAAAAATCAGGCTGAACAAGATCCAGTGCGTCTTTATATAATTATAATCCACAGAACAAGAAAACGTTTGTTCATCGGATTACCCAGAGTTATGAGTAAACACTGTAAATGTGAAGCAGGGCGGTGCTACAAATAGTTTAGTCATGAAAACAAATAAAAGATAAATGTTAAAACGGTTTACAAACAGTGTGGGCTCTTACAGGTGGAACAGCAGCCGCCCAGGTCTCTGACTCTCGAGCAGACTCCTCACTGCCTCCCTCAGCTCCGGCTGCTGCCATGTCGCCCCCTAATGGAGCAGCTCCTCCCGAGGCCCCGAGGTCTCCAGGCAACACCCGTGCTTCCCGTGACGATGCCCTCGTGTCGCGTGACACCGACATGGCCTCCTCTGCTGTGGTGGCTGCCGCTGGTGAGAGGGTGTCCCCGACCTTTGGAGGTGGAGAACAACGAAATGACGGAACTAAAAGGCGGAGCAATGCCTGACCACCTTCAAACGAGTTCATCTGAAAAGGACATTA